AATCATTTGACATGCCATCTATTCTATTGGGTAGGAAATTCAGACGATTCTGTTCTTGGTTCTACTGTAAGATCCTCAATGAAATTACAATAGGTACCCAGGTGCTCAGTCCTGGCCCGATTTGAGTAGATCCCAATAGCCATACTATGCCTGCATTAGACAATTGATGACGTTTGTTCTTTTAAGCAAACATAGGCTGCAACTTTAAAGTAAGCAATCTTCGAAGTAAAAGAGAAAATTGTACGTTAATGAGGGATTCCCAGGTACTCGGTGACGGGGACGTTGAACAATTATAAAGATAACAAACTATACTGCTTCGTAAAATTAAATTACAGGCAAACTGTAGCGATGATCACTCAAATGTACCTTTCTTTTCAATAAATGATTTCGTTTCATTAACTAATATTGCTTCACACGATTTCTATAAACTTAACATTATTAGAACTTACATAAGTTAGTGATAATTGTTTAAAAATTTCAGTGTACAATGTCAAGAGATAGCGTAGTACACACTTAATAGTTGTGCTCAAAAAACTCATTATTAAGTGAATTCTAACAAAAGTTAGAAAAATGTGTCAGTTAGGACTTGATACAAATTAATACCATAATTTTTCTCATTCAAAAGTGAAGCTTTTTTCCCAATCTCAATCTTCTTAAATTAATTATCCGATAAACATTCTTATATAGTATTAAATAATAATTCTCGAGGAGAAAGATACTCATTCCCCCCCTCAAAGGCTCAAAAGTTCGAATAAACGTCTTCAGATCACGATGGTCAAGTAATCCAACACTTCGTCGATACACTCAGGAAAAAGTTATTGATTAATATTTGAACTAAAGTATTCTCTAGCAGATTTTTGCAGTTTATATTGTCTATATCAAATTGTGTGCATCTCGAAGTCGAAATCTTATAATACCCCATATAAAATGGAAACTTTTCATTATAAATGGGCATGACACGGCAGGGTGACGGTAAAAATTACTATACACATTATAAGAATTACTGTGCACATTGTTGAATTTACTAAACTGCATAGTAATTTTTAGGGTGAAATTAGAGTAAAAATAACTATGCAGTTTAGTAAATTCAACAATGTGCACAGTAATTTTTACAATGTGTATAGTAATTTTACCGTCACCTTGCCGTGTCATGCCCATTTATAATGAAAGTTCCATTTATATGGGTATTATAAGATTTCTTGGATTTTTTCATATCTTAAAAGAACTTTGACTGCTACAATATTTCAGAGTTACAAGCTTCAAAAAAAGGTGTGCGACCTTCCTCATCGATAGCTTCAATATTTGCCTTATGCTTTAGCAATAGCTGTATTATTTGGAGAGTTGTTCTAGATTCATAACAACCAATACGGTGAAGAGGTGTTTCACCATTCCGATCCACTATATTTGGATTAGCATGATTTTCTAAAAGAATTTAATTGCTGCAATATCCCCAAATTTACATGCTTTAAAAAGTGGTACCCAACCGTTTTGGACCCCTCTATTTTCCAGGAATGCTCGATGTAACATAGTTTGGTGATTTTTGATAAAATTATGAAATTTTTTGAAAAAATTTTATGTATTAACACGGAAGTAAACACAAACACGTATTAATGAACATACATATAATGTCACTGAAGTGTCATTTACTCCGAAAGGAGTCAATGTAAAAGTTGTGCTTTTATTATTAAACTTTTTGCACTACCAGAATACATTAACTATTATTTACCTAAATATTGTACGATTTTATCGACAAATATAGACGTGGACAGTTGGTCTAAACAAGACGTTCCTTACACACTTCTGTGAGCAAACTGAAAATCTTCACTCTCTGGTAGTCTCCACCAACTCTAGTTCCATTTTGCGCATGCCCTAAAAATTGAATACGCCCAAAGTCCATGGGAGGGATAAGACCCATTATTCTCCCTCGTTCTACCTGCGACTTGCGATACATCCTAAAATATGATACTGTACTGGTTGCAAGCGAAATATGTAGTACACGTGTTGTTAATTTTAATAATGATGATATTCTGAAATTTCAATTACATAACTAAAACGAGTTCTTCAAATTCCTCGAGTTTTTTTAAATATCTACCTAAACTAAAAATTTCGGCATTCATTTTTCTCCGTGATTACTACTTAAAATTTTCCCACTTGTAATATCTATACTAGCTTTAGTTAATTTATTTATTTTTATACTTATTTATTTTTGTTTTTCTATCAAGATTATCGCTAATTAATGTTAATTTATCTTTAATCATGCATGAATATCAAATGAATCTCGATCATAAAATGGAGGCATGTAGAAATGCATTAACATTCCTACGACCCTTACGCACATTTTTACATTAATTTCATTCTCTCTGCCCAAAATAATAATTTCAAACTTCCATTGATTGGACTATATGGACTTTAGGCGTATTCAATTTTTAGGGCATGCGCACAGTGGAACTAGAGTTGGTGGAGACTACCAGAGAGTGAAGATTTTCAGTTTGCTCACAGAAGTGTGTAAGGAACGTCTTGTTTAGACCAACTGTCCACGTCTATATTTGTCGATAAAATCGTACAATATTTAGGTAAATAATAGTTAATGTATTCTGGTAGTGCAAAAAGTTTAATAATAAAAGCACAACTTTTACATTGACTCCTTTCGGAGTAAATGACACTTCAGTGACATTATATGTATGTTCATTAATACGTGTTTGTGTTTACTTCCGTGTTAATACATAAAATTTTTTTAAAAAATTTCATAATTTTATCAAAAATCACCAAACTATGTTACATCGAGCATTCCTGGAAAATAGAGGGGTCCAAAACGGTTGGGTACCACTTTTTAAAGCATGTAAATTTGGGGATATTGCAGCAATTAAAATTCTTTTAGAAAATCATGCTAATCCAAATATAGTGGATCGGAATGGTGAAACACCTCTTCACCGTATTGGTTGTTATGAATCTAGAACAACTCTCCAAATAATACAGCTATTGCTAAGCATAAGGCAAATATTGAAGCTATCGATGAGGAAGGTCGCACACCTTTTTTTGAAGCTTGTAACTCTGAAAATATTGTAGCAGTCAAAGTTCTTTTAAGATATGAAAAAATCCAAGAAATCTTATAATACCCATATAAAATGGAAACTTTTCATTATAAATGGGCATGACACGGCAAGGTGACGGTAAAAATTACTATACACATTGTAAAAATTACTGTGCACATTGTTGAATTTACTAAACTGCATAGTTATTTTTACTCTAATTTCACCCTAAAAATTACTATGCAGTTTAGTTAATTCAACAATGTGCACAGTAATTCTTATAATGTGTATAGTAATTTTTACCGTCACCCTGCCGTGTCATGCCCATTTATAATGAAAAGTTTCCATTTTATATGGTATTATAAGATTTCGACTTCGAGATGCACAAATTTGATATAGACAATATAAACTGCAAAAATCTGCTAGAGAATACTTTAGTTCAAATATTAATCATAACTTTTTCCTGAGTGTATCGACAGAAGTGTTGGATTACTTGACCATCGTTGATCTGAAGACGTTATATTCGAACTTTTGAGCCTTTGAGGGGGGATGAGTATCTTTCTCCTCGAGAATTATTATTTAATACTATATAAGAATTGTTTATCGGATAATTAATTAAGAAGATTGAGATTTGGGAAAAAGCTTCACTTTTGAATGAGAAAATTATGGTATTAATTTGTATTAAGTCCTAACTGACACATTTTTCTAACTTTTGTTAGAATTCACTTAATAATGAGTTTTTGAGCACAACTATTAAGTGTGTACTACGCTATCTTCTTGACATTGTACAATTGAAATTTTTAACAATTAATCACTTAAACTTATGTAAAGTTCTAATAATGTTAAGTTTATATAAATCGTTGAAAGCATATTAGTTTTAATGAAACGAAATCATTTATTGAAAGAAAGGTACATTTGAGTGATTCATCGATACAGTTTGCCTGTAATTTTAATTTTACGAAGCATTATAATTTTGTATCTTTATAATTGTTCAACGTCCCGTCACCGAGTACCTGGGAAATCCCTCATTAACGTACAATTTTCTCTTTACTTCGAAGATTGCTTACTTTAAAGTTGCAGCCTATGTTGCTTAAAAGAAAACGTCATCAATTGTCTAATGCAGGCATAGTATGGGCTATTGGGACTACTCAAATCGGGCCAGGAACTGCAGTCTCTTTAGATGATCAATATTGTAAAAAACTTGCTGTTTTGAAATAAAGTACAAAAGCGTACTTTTGCCTCCATACAAAAGGCTCTTGTTTGATTCCAGTGATTTAAAATATCTTGGTTAATCCCTTCACTTTGCTGAATAATCGTCATCTGCTTATTCATTTCTTTTTCTAGATTATTTAACCTTTTTGCGCGTTTGTCATATTCAACTTTTTGATGACTTTACTGATTTTTCATTAAAACTTTTAGATGCTTCAAATAATTGACCTTGATTTTTTTATTCGATCCATTGAAGATGTATGGTTCATACCATTCCCAAAGATTGACATTCTTCCATACTGTACAAATTTCGGCAGCCCAGAAGCGAAGTTCATGGGGCTTAATTGAACTAAAAAAAAAATAATTGATTGCAGTACCAATAGGCGCACTGATAAAAGCGATTTATTACTGTTACAAAACGATTTTTAAATTATCAATCGACAACAAACTGGCGAGAGTTTGAGTCCCGTAACTGCAACAAGTGTGCCAAGTCCTTCAAGTCCACCTGAAAGTCGCGATATTATTTGATCAAAAACTCTAGATATGCTCTAAGAATCAACACATTCCAATAAATATACTGGAAAATATATTTTTTTTACAAGTAATTAGTATACAAGAGTTGAAAAAACGGTATACTAGTGGTGGAAAAACTATTTTTCCGAAACAAACAAAATAAATTTGATTTTTCCTCAATAATTATTCTTAATTCGAGTAAATTATCTTGAAAATTTAAAAAAAAAGTATTCTCCTTTAAGTAATTTGTATACTGGATTTAAGTAAAATGTATAGTCGGAATAGAAAGTTTATTTTGAGAGAAGTGAACGATGTAACTGTATAATTTTCGTATATAAAAAATGAAATAAGAGAATAAATTATCCATTTGATATGTAAACAATAATCATGTTCAATGTAAACAATATTTATCATATTCATAATCTTTGTATATAATGCAATTAAACAGTCTATGAGAATTTCATCAACAATATTCAAAAAATATGTAATTGTTACACTTGTAATCAGTAAATTATATGTATAGAACGAAAAATCTGTATTATCCACAGAAGTGAATATTCTACTTGTTCCGTGCTAACTTTCTATTTCAGATAAAATAAATATCTACAAAATTAAGGTAATAAGTTTTTTCACAACAGTCAGTTTGTATTCTTTTTATGAACAATAATTGTACTCGTATTTTCAATAATTTTTTTTTATTGAAAGTTACAAGTTTTTTTACAATTTGAAATTAATTTAATTGTATTTTGTTCTCAATATTTTTAATACAAGTAAATGATGTACACTCGGCGTCATTATTGCCTGGTCCATCAAAAACTTTGATACCATCCGAGCAATTATCGATGGAGTAGTTTTTTTTTCAAACAGAGATTCTACATCTATATTAATTTAGAAAGTTTATGATTAAATACCCTTCCAGATAGTCCCTATAACAATAGAATATCCCGACTAAAAAATTTTTAAACCTTAATTTAAATAATAAACAAGAAAATTTCAATAATGATTATAATTTAATAATAAACTTAAGTTTATAAATACTATGATCAAACTAACATTAATGGTCACGATTGTTTCATAATGACTGAAGAAGTAAGTTTAAATTATAATTATTACTTAAATTCATTATTATTATTTAAATTAAGGTTCAAAAATGTTTAGATAGTCTATTGTTATAGGGACTATCTAAAAGAGTATTTAATCATAAACTTTCTAAATTAGTTTAGATATAGAATCTCTGTTTGAAAAAAAACTACTCCATCGATAATTGCTCGGATGGTATCAAAGTTTTTGATGAACCAGGCATTAATGACGCCGAGTGTACATTTTACTCATCGTTTGTATGCTTTGTAGTCGTCACGATCGTTCTCTGAGTGTAACTAAGGCACGAGTTCACCATTAGCAAACTGCTAATCACAGCTGCCAACTTCTACCAGACACTAGTACCAATCCAAATAAATTAAAAATTAAAGAACTTATTTAAATATTAACAGCATCTTAATAATTTATTTAATTTATAATTACCTGTTTACACGAATTGCACAATAACTTTGCATTACTTTTTTATAACAAATTTTAGGTTATGTATGTTATGATCGGGTTCTTTAATTTATTTGGGTTGGTATCAGTGTCTGGCAGAAGTTGGCAGCTATGATTAGCAGTTTGCTAATGGTGAACTCGAGCCTAAAGTGTTATAAATATATTTGCACTCGTGGGTGGTGAACGATCTAGTGTATTTGACAATTAATTGTTTCTTTTCAATAAATAACCTAGATTCTGAAAAGTTTTCGTCTAAACAAAGCAATACGAAGTAAAGTTTTATTACAATTTATGTTAGGAAGGCTTTAATTGGTGACATGGATATCAAGTCAGGTGAATTTTGATGATTCAAGGTCCTACACATTGACAAATCTTCAACTCTGTGGGAGGTAAATATGTCATTGACTTTAAAAAATTGATAAAAGTTTTTTTAATATTATTTTATCCATATTTACATAAATTATATTGTACTATTTCTAATAAATTTTATACTTGTATTAAATTTTATAAGCACTAACACTTGTGATTTCATATTAATACTTTTTCTCAAGTATTACTTCATTATTTAAATAATAATTACTACTATCATGTTTCACGCAACCAATTTGTTAGTGGAGATAACATAGTTTGGCTTACAATAAAAAGATGTTCGAAATAAATCACGGCACTCCTAAATTGTGAGTCACGCGTCCTTGTTTGTTCAAACTCCAAAGTTATTACTAATCTCTTCCTTATTTAATCACAGTCATAATAATTGTTATTATTATTTTTTGTAGATATTTAAATAATCATAATGTCAGCACCACCGCCACCTCCACCCCCTGCATTTAATTTAGGAAATTCGGGTAGCAGTGATCAGGGGCGAAACCAATTATTACAGTCAATTAGAGCAGGAAAAACTTTAAAAAAAACAGTGACTGTTGATAAAAGTGCCCCTTGTATATCTGGTAAGTTTGTTCCTCTGTAATGTATATTTAAAAGTTAATTCACTCTCTAAATGACTTTCATTTTTTTTTCTCACAGGCAAAGTGAAGAATGGCACGAGCAACAATTCCACTATTAATTCGCCTCAGTCTGGTACCGCTAGTAGTGTTAGTAATAACAACAACAGTACTCCAATGGGGCTTGGAGGCTTATTTGCTGGTGGAATGCCTAAGTTAAAACCCACAGGTCTCAGAAGTACGATTGTTGAAAGAGATTCATCGACTATTTCAAATTCTGGAAATAATCCAGCTCTTAGTGCCAATACTGTTGTAACTAATATCAATACCACTGGTACAATGAAACGAGGACCACCTCCAGTTCCACCGCCAGCTGCTCAAAAACCCCTTATATCTTTACCTCAGGTATGAATACAAATCCACAAATGTTCAACCTATATGATAGCAGGCTAAAAATAGAAGTACAGCTGAACATTGTATAAAAAAAACCTGTGACTAATTTTTGATTAACTTTTAAAAACAGATGTGTTAAGTAATATAATTGTAGACAATTAATAATTTTATTTTATCAATTTTAAAGCAAAGTACAACGGATGGACCAAATGAGTCACCAAATAAAGGCTTTGGGAAGCCAATGTTAGCTCCAAAACCGCCAGGAACATCGACATTACACAAACCACATCCACCCCCAAAAAAGCCGGAATTACTTGGAGGAAGTGTATCGCGAGCACAAAGTATGCGATTACCTCGATCACCACCAGTACTCGCACCAACACCTTCATCTCTTCATCAGTCTCAGGATTGTTTAAATGAAACCCAGCACAGGCCAATAAATCGTGTCTTAAGGCCACCAGTAGCAAGACCACCTTCACCACCTACATCTAAACCAGCTCCAGCCACACCAGTTTCTCAAGTTCTTCCACCAGCTCCTCCGCAAGGTCCTCCAGTAGCTTCTGTTACAAGAGTGGCGCCGCCTCCTCCTGGAAGACCTACAGTGATGGCACCCAGTATGCCTCCACCGCCCCCACCTCCGCCGCATCGTTCGAATTTAACTCATCAAAGACTTGCACCTTTGCCACCAACACCTCCAACTAGAAATTTATCATTGTCTAATGGGCAATCATCAACGAGCAACAATTCTGCTGATTTAGAAGTCAGATTTAGTGAAATGTTTCATTCTATCATCACTTTTCCATCACCCGAGCCATTTCGAGGAGTTCCGAAACTTTACAACAGCAAAAATGGTGAGGTTAATAACCAATCACACTCGCTTCTTGGATTTACACTTAGACGTCAATCTACCCCATTAAATGTTTAAATTTCAATCTTTTTGTTCCATTTATATTTAGTTCTCATTGTAAGCACCTTCAATTTTTCCTTTCTGTCAGCATGAATTATTCAACTTTCTTTTCTCTTAACATTCAGGAGATGTTTATCACATTATTCTAATTACTTTACTTTGGTTTATGTCTTATATTATTAACTAAGACTGTTAAATAAATTTATAGAATTTTTAAGATGCACGTCTACTTTCTTTATATGTATTCCATCATCTATTTTGTATTTAAAAACTACTCGATCATGGCTATGGAGCATGTAATACAGCATCCTAATTTATATGTACAAAATTTCATTAAGAATAAAATAGCATTTAATTAATTAACCAAATATTACAGCAGCTAAACAGCAAGCTCCGGCACCACCTCAATCAAATCCTAGCCCTAGTTCTGTTCTTCAATTAAATGCCTCAGCAGGGGGGAAACAGTGGCAACATAATGCAGCGTCATCAGCATGTTAAAATAATTATTTGTAAATTTAACTTGTATTTATAATTAATAATACTAATCATTATTAATTTATGAAAAAATAATTTTTTTGTATATATATAAATAATATGCCGTAAATGTCGAAAAATTTAGTCATAGCCATTGGATATATTTATTTCGATTGAAGCCAAACGCGATTATTACGCGCAATTAAATATAACAGACCACGTTGGTCTAGATTAATATTCAATAAATTAAAAAATTCTATTGTATTTGCAATGTAATAATTATACACTAAATTGTAATTCGATAGTCTTGCAATGCACTTGTTGTAAAATGATAACTTGTAATAAGTAAAATTCCAAATTTTTATGTAACATAATATTCTGTTTCTATTTGATATTTTGAATAGCATCAAGCAGAAACAGAATCCACTGTAACTAAATTAACTATCTCTTTTTAACATTTGATTGCCATAAAATTTTATTGTATGTTATTAATATTGTTTTCTTAATTATTTAAATAGAAAAAAATGTTTTAGACAAATCTACAATGTTTGAATTAATAAGTCAATATTATTAATAGTTTGAATAATTATTCTTTTTTTATATTTTAAAAATAATAAATGAAAAAGTAGTAAACAAAGAAGAAAAAAATATCAACACGTATACAACAATTATTCATTTTATTTAGATGACATGCAAACAAGAGTGAAAAGAATCAGCGAATTATTTTTGATCATTTACATTCGTTCACCATCGTTGTTTTAAAATGTAAAGTAACGTGGTATCGCGAATGCTTGAATTAGCTAAGGCCTTTTTAAAGGCAGTTGGTAACATGATTGAGCTGCATGAAATTGTTATTTTCCATGATAATCATATAAATAATATAAATAATGCAATACTCAATTAGTGCAGCATATTATTGAAACTTGGAATCAGTAAGAAAAATGATACATAATTCATATTTAATTAACTAATTCGCTTCAAGTTCTTTTTCTACAATCTTTCGGTATTCGTCGAATCCTCCTTCAACACATCTGACAATTCCTTTTTCACACACCCAAAGCTCTGTGCATACCATTCGTATTAATCGTTCATCGTGAGATACTAAGATGACACCAGCCTGAATAAATAAAATGTTTAATTAATTAACAACAGAATTATAAATGTATTTTCTTCTTTCAATTTAGTTTTATTTAAAATAACTCATTTAAAAGTAAATAATGCTTTCGCCAGGATTATTTTTTGAAATATTTGTAAGAATATATCGTACTTTAAATCTTCATAATGGATAAAAGACGCTAGACCAGAAATGATTTCGTTTCTAGAGCGTGAATACATCCATTATTAAAGTTCTGAAGAAGTTGAAGTTTTTATATAAGAACCTTGCAACCAGAATGCAATTCATCTTCGTTTCAAGTTTACTTTTAAATGGAAAAAGTCTAAAAATAATAATAATTACCTGGCAAATATTCAAAGCTTTTCCTAGAGCTTCGATCGATTCGATATCAAGATGATTGGTAGGTTCGTCAAGAACAAGGAAGTTAGGATTTGCAGCACACATAAGAGCAAAAGCAACTCGAGACTTTTGACCTCCGGATAAAGAGCTTATTGTTTGTAAAGCTAGATCTCCACTTATCCCAAAGCTACCTAACATACGTCTGTACTCTTCAATAGGTTTACCTATAAATAAAGTGCAGTTATGAATCATAGTTCGGAAAAGATCATGTAATAATTTACCTGGAAAATGATTCTGCAATAATTCCACAGAACACACTCTCATATCTAACTGATCAACATGATGTTGGCTGAAGTAACCGAACTTGAGGTTCCGATGGACATGTAGGGTTCCATGTGTTGGACTTAAACTACCCGTAATAATTTTTAATAACGTCGTCTTTCCTGCTCCATTTTCTCCAACAATACAAATACGTGACTGTAGTGTGGCAGTGAGATTAACATTAGAAAGTACGTATTCATTATTTGTCGAACCGGCATAGCGGAAAAAGACTTCATTAAGTTGAAGAATAGGCGGACTAAGTGACTCCACGTCAGGGAAACGCAGTGTCACTGTTGGCTCTTTCTCCACTGGTTTTAATTCAGGCCTAAAAAATGGAAAAATTTCATGAATAAATGTTATATAAAAATAAAAAATGAAGAGTTGCCATAGAATTATTTAAACTCACAACTTCTCAAGCATTTTGATTTTACTTTGCACACAAGAGGCACGATTAGCATTATAACGAAAACGATCAATGAACTCTTGAACATGTGCTCGTTTTGCTTGTTGAGCTTCATATTCGCGTTGCATATTTTTCTCACGTTCACCTCGGGTTTTTTCGAACTGTTCATAATTGCCACGATACGCTTCGATTTTCTGGCCTTTCAGGTACAATATATCTGTAGGAACCTGCAACAATTTATTTAACTAATTAATTTAAAGTTTTTAATTACGATATTAAATAAGTATTGAATAAAGTTTTCGTACAGTATCTAAGAAATTTCTATCGTGAGAAACAACAAGTAGTGTTGTTGGCCACGACTGAAGGTATCGTTCTAACCAAAGGATTGCTTTGATATCCAACATGTTCGTCGGCTCATCAAGGAGTAAAAGATCAGGTCTAGAAAATAGAGCTCTGGCAAGAGCAAGTCGCATTCTCCAACCACCAGAAAATGATTTCGTAGGCCAAGATTGTCGTTCTACTGAAAATCCAAGTCCGGATAAAATTGCACTAGCTTTCGCTGGTGATTTATCCACTTCAGCATGTTGCATCGCTTCATAAACCTTTGCTAATTCTTCGCCAAGAGCATCACTCTTTCCTCCTTCTTTCTCAATAAGTATCTGAAGCTCAGCTTCACGTTTTAACAAAGAATTTCTCTCCTCATCACATTCTAATACCGAATTTAAAGCTGATGTATCATCACCAGCTACTTCTTGTTCGACATGAAGAACACGTATGTGTGATGGTATTCTCAGTTGCTTGCTGAAAAATCATTGATTATTGTAATTATTAAATAATATTATTTTTTTATGAAAATTAATAGGTTACTTCTTTGAAAGAGTTTAAGTTATATTACATGATGGTAATTATCGAAGATAAGATGATCATTCATTATTTTTAGAACCGTTGAACTTTGACTAATTACTAACCTAAATTATTCATTTAAATGCTAATCGCACAATAAGGAATAAATCGATATAAGAAATTTAAAGTTGATAACTAATAGTCTCATTGGAATAAACTGATAAATTTTTTATAAATTTTGAATAAAAGAAAATTAAAACATCAAAGATTTCATTGTTAAAGATATCTACCTTATTCATATATGAAAATCAGATTTTTCATGTATGTGTAAAAGTAGATTGTCTTATTTACCTAGAAATCATACGAAGTAGTGTTGTTTTACCCAGACCATTTCGACCGATAAGACCATATCGTCTTCCAAAAGCTAATGTTAAATCAGCTCCTTGAAGCAAGATTTTATTTCCATATGCAACATCAAAGTTTTCAATTCTAATGTCTTGAGTTTTATTTGTGCCTCCTTTACTTTCCATACGGCTATCTTTTTTGCTCATCATTTGACTAGCACTTGCTAGTTCTATTGATTGATTTATGCTATTAATCTTTGTATTATTTCCAAGGTCTAATCCATTTCTTTTTTCTTGTTTTTGCTGAAGCTTTGCCTCAGCTTTTTCTAACTTTTTTGCATCTACTTTCTGAAGGTATTAAAAAAAAAGGATTAATAGATGCAGTGAGTGAAAAAATCTATTAGAAAATTATAATTATGATGATGATTAATTAAAATATTTATAACAGATTTGTACCATAGTATCGTCTCTAGTAGTCACCCATATACTTTTAATTTGTTCTACTTGAGCTTCTAAAGTTGCAGCCATTGCACCTAAGTGTACTGGGGCATTTAATACTTTATTCACTCCATTTTTTCGCCTTTCTCTTTCATTTTCTCCACCATCATATGAACCTCCTTTTAGGATGGTCAATAACTTGCTGCATATATCCCTAAAAATTTAATAAAAAATGAAAATTTCTTACATTATAAAAGATCAGTGTTTTTCATAAAATATTTCATCAAAGAAATATCTTTAAATAAATTTTTTTAGTTAATAAAAATATTTTTAAAAAATAATGTACAGACCTAACCTCGTTTTCAGATTTCTCTGATACCTCATGTAAAACTTGTCCAATAGCTTCATAAACTTCTTCTCCATCTTCAAAATCGTCTTTAGAACTATCAAGAATCCCTGAAACACCACGTCATTCAATTCATTGTTAATCAAGTCTATTGTCAATACATGATTACTCCGTTTTAGGTTAAAAATAATGTTACCTTCGACGTAATGATATAAATCATCATCAATCGTTGGAAATTGACTTCTAATATATTCACTACACTCTGCCATATTCGTTTAAAAATATATTAAACAATTAAAGTTTCGTATTTACCAATGAACAATTTATTAATAATACTATGACAACTGGTATAAGTTTAACGTCAAAGTAGTCTTATCAAAAATTTTGTCAGACACATGTAACACATGACTAGTAATAGATGTATGGAGCAAATTAGTATTTATTCTTCAACTAGATTTCAAAAATGTAAAAGACAATTCTGAATAAAATTGATATAGGAACATATATAAAAGAAAATTCAGTTTTTACAAATATTGCAATTAAATAATAATAAAAATGGTTCAATTTGCATTAAATTTTTTGCCAGTAGTGATTATCGCGACATCTATAACTGCCGAAAAAGCGGCTGTAGCTCTGCATTTGATTTTGGTATTTTAAATAATAAATATTCAAACCGAAAAAACGCTTATTATTATGTTAAATACATCATATGATTCAAACAAAACTTTTATTTATTATTGTTCAACTTTAAAGTTGATGAAAAAAATTCTTTCCAGTGTAAATTTTATTTTCTTTAGAAATTTAGCTGGAGAAAGAGCATGGTCTTACCATGTATTCATAGACACACATTACGTGCTATAAAATAAATGAAAAAATGTCAAAAGATGCCAACAGTGTAATAACTTATAAACAGAAAAATCCCTAGATTATAAATATCGAGAAAAAAATATTCAAATGTGTTGAGTTCATGAACTATTGAAGATATAAATAACAACATAAAATTTAAATAAACTTTACTTTCAACATAAACAATTAATTTTTAATCATTTCGAATTAACATTTACAATTAATCGATCCATAAATTATTCACTTGATGAAATTTTCACAATCATCATGAATATAAACAAATCACATCATCTGAAGTGTGGTATGATTAATTGGCAAAAGATGTAAGTAGTATTAGAAATTTTACTAATTTAACTACATTATTTAGTTGATAAAGTACAGTAAATTAATGAAATAACATATAAAATAACTTTTGTGTATTTATTTTTGCAGTCAAAAATTAAAATCACAAAACATAATTTATGTCATTACTTACTTAATAATTCTAAATTAAAATACTTATATTGTAATAAGTACATAAATCTTATAAATCTACAACAATATTGATAAGTTAAATATTAAAATACACAAAAGTATGTCCAAATTTATTACAATTTTTAAATACTATCTTAATGAAAAATTACACTATCTCCAATCTGATGTACATGAATCATAGTAATCATCCTCAACTACTTTGTCACTGCAATAATATACATAATAAGATCCAGAATAGATTGGCCTTTCTCGTAAACATCTTTGATGATTACGACATTCACATCTACAAAAAAATATAATTAAAAAATTAAAATAATTTGTTTACATAATTATAAATTATTTTACATACATTGAAAATAAAATAATATTTTTCACTTACGGATTAGGTATAAAATCCAACGTGATTTGCAGTGCATCATCATACGGACACCATCCACAAGGAGCTGTACCACAAAAGTCTAATGATGTTTCATTGAACTTCATACTTTTTTTCAATCTTTCAATAATAATGTCTTTGGAACGTGATTCTGGTTGACTTATAGAATTAGGATTCTCTTTCATTGGATTTGGAGTTGTTTCGTCCTAGAATTTAAACATACTTTTATTAATCAGGAGCAAATTCAACAGGTTTTATTCAAGTATTTATTGTTCTTAGTATATTTACATATTGTTTTAAATTCAATCCTATCTAGTTATTATATAAGTTTTATTATTTTTTTTTAATAATTATCTGAAGACTTCATTTTCTATTGATTTTTACTCTAGGTCCAACTATTACTTGTTGAATTGAATTATTTGTTGGATGGTTCAAATACAAATAAATGAATTCAGTGTACATAAAATTTAAAAAAATTGATAATTTTATCATGAAAATAGTAATACGTAGTTTAGAGGAAAAACGAAACGTAGAAAATTGTGTGAAAAACTCTAAATTTAGAGATACTGAGATTTGTTTTTCATTTCGTTGAGAAGTCAGTATGATTGTAAATGTACATATAAAGAGACAGGTCACTAATATTTATCTATGGAGATACAGATGTTGTAGATGAACACACTGACATTGAAAGCAAGTGATAAAAAATGGATTTCGATTGACATTTTAAAAAATTGTGCAATTCGAACGTTGAACTCATAAAACAAGTTTGACTAGTTTGATTAAAATTCAATAATGCAAATAATACACCCGAAGCTTATAAATAATAGACATTATAATCGGTATATTAATACGTATTAGTGAAGTATAAAATTCCGGAAAATATGTAAGTAAAAATGTGTGAGAAAGTAAATGGGAAAGATGATAATAAGGGAGAGGATTAAGAGTTAGCTGAATAATTTTTCTGACGTCTTCAAGTTTTTCTTTATCATTCTTATAAAAATCATTGACGTACAAACTAATTTATCTAAATTAATTATTAATTTTACAAAAATAAATGTCAGATAAATAATAACGTATAATGATGAAAAAAAGTAATATTTAATAAAAATTAGGCGGAAATGAATGAAATTTTATAACAAAATTTAAGGAGCTATTTCCAAGGATTTAATGAAAAGAGCTCATAAATTTTTCTCCTCTATAATCTCCGCATTCTTTGAATATAAATCAACAAATGTGAACAATATTCGGAGAATAGTATATATCATGAATAGCTATAGAATCGAAATGCTGACAATATAAATTCTCTTGTTAATAAAAATAATATTTTGACGGTAATATATAACGTTCTGACGACAATACATATATACTAGTAATACCCCTTACGTTTAATATACGATTAAAGTTCATTTAATTTGAAGAAATTATTTTCATTCTTCAATATGTTTATAAACTCTACCACAACTAAGACAAGTTACTATTACTAACTGATAATTTAATTAAATATATATATAAGAAATAATTAATTGATTTATTATCAACAGTTGAAGATAAAAAATAAATACATACTTGTAATCTTATATATTTAGTTATTTTTTTCTTGATATAAAAAGTGGTATGAATTTGTTGTTCAATTATTACAAGATTGATGAAATAAATAATTCAATTAATGAATTTGATTCAACTTAATTGTAAGCAGGAAAATATGTTAGGGCCATTGTGATTCATCAATGAACACATCATATAATTTTCACGTGCCTATTTTTTTTAGGTAGAGAAACATCTTTATCGTACAGATATATGAAATAAATAGTTGTATGAACATCAATAAGTGATGATGTGTGTCTTATCATTCCCTAAATTCTACGAATATTAAAATAGAAAAGTGCTTTGGTAAGAAACCCGTTGACAAATACAAATGTCTGTACACTTGATACAGAAGAATGAAAGAATGTATTCTGGAACATTGAAGAAATTAAAGTTTACTGATAAAATATTTTATTAAAACCATTGCACCCAAAGTATATTATTCTTTTGAAAAAAATGAAATTTTTGAACTAAAATGATTAATCATCAATACAATGTTAATTCACTTCATTTAATTTAATCTAAAACATTTCAAAATACTTTGAAATTTTACATGATATTCTTAAAATATAATAATTGATCAAGTGAGTAACAGTTGAATGAAGAAAATCATGCTTCAGATAATAATAGTGAAAAAAAAATATTTAAAATGAGTTACCTTAGATCTCAAGATTACTGATCCAATGCAGACTTGGTAGACGCAGGTAACAAGAAATATAACAATAAATAATTTGCTTTCCGTCATTTTTAAATAAACCAATTTGATATAAGTTATTATCCAACTAATATGGTAATATTAAATATTATTCCCACTTAAAAATGTCCGTTTATTGGTAGATATGAATTACGTGAGATGTCAAAACAAGTATCAATCTAGAGCTTCAATGTCTCACCTCGACTTCTTGTGGAAAGTGAAAATGTGGTCTTGATATCCTGGGTTTTTAAGGTCTGCTACTACGCCTCTTGGGCTTTGGAGGGAGGTCAACTATGTTTGATGACAAACCACAAGAAGTAGATGAAATTTTGGTGATAAGGTAAATCTTCCTACATAAAGATGGACGGATAGAATTAGTGGAAATGTTTTAGGTAAATAAAGATAATGTCAGTCTAGCTAATTGATTGAATATTTCACCAAATTTTTATCAACCTCAATGAATTAATAACCAAATTATTGGACAAAAGTGTTAAGTTTATTCAATAATGAAGTTAAAAAAGACTATACCATTTCGAAAAATGATGAATCAATGGTCTTAGAAGGATCATTTTCGTCTAATGATTCATCAAAACCAAGATAATTTTATGGTAATTTCATGTCACAGGTGTGTTACACCTTTTTAACATAATTAATTATTTTAAAAAGATTGACCATTTATTTAAAATATTCATTGTAAATGGTTTATAGTATTTCATCATTATTATATCGAATAAAAGATCAAATTGATTCATAGGAAAAGTATATCTTGAGTTAAATTGAGATAAAACCCTACTGAATTATATGAAGTAAAATGTGAAATAATTAATTCATTTTTAATTCCGTGAAATCATCATGAAAATTCCCTTAGTTCTCTATCATATTACTCATTCTTATAATTTCATCAATGAAAAAAATCCATATGTTAGAAAACTTCTATTAGTGTTGATTGAAAAAAGCACCAAGTCATTGAACGTCATACTCACGAACAATTGTTCTTTTATAGAATAAATATTGTTCTATAAATAGAATTCTGAGAATTATATTAATTTATATAATTTTTATAACTATCAGTTGGTGAAAACGTTATGTTTCAAGTCTAAAACTGGAAAATAGATTAATGGAAGATAAATGATGATAAATTAATGTTCTATCAAAAACGAAATCTTCAAAATGGTTTTTTTTTTGTTATCAATGTTCCCAGGAATTTTTTATTCAAAAAATTTATTAAAATATAATTATTTTATTATTAAATTTTTTTTTTAAAAACAAGCAATATTAAAATTTTTTTATTCATTGATGAAATATGTGCAGGAAGACTTTTGTAATATTTGGATATCTATGTCTTTAATGAGATTGATAACAGGATGAATAATTCTTATTAATTATTTAACAAATTAATATGTTATTAATTAATAATCTAAAAATGGTACTTTAAAACTAGATAAGTTTAAACATATTAATGCTTATGAGGCAACTTTATAATTAATTTAAAAAATAATTGATATTGAAATAGATAAAATGACACTTTCCTCATTTCACCAATAGATAATTATTTTTCAATGTCAGTAAATATTTAAACTATCTACTGACAAAAAATTTCCTTTTATCAACAATTGATTATGAATTTGAATAGATATGATGCATTGTTTTCTTTATCAAATAATTAATTTATTCATAAGAGTTTCATTAAATTTGGTGATGCATCAACATTTTTTCTATAAAGATGAATATTTTATTGATGATTATGGTGATAGCTAATCTTATATTGAGAGCTTTGTCTAAAAAAATACTCACATGAATGAACATTTGATTTACCTTGTTTATTGTTGAGGGTTTCATGGCAAGTACAATGATCTAATCTTCTTTACCTCTAAGGTTTTTGATGTTATTGTTATGCTTGTAATTCCAAGTCTAGACCCAGAAATAGACTTAAATGACATCATATTTACCCTCGATTTGTTTCCTCGTTTTGATTAAATCTAAAAAAAAAAATATTTTTATTCAACAATTATCTTTCAAACAATGTTAATGGAGTATACGAATTATTTTTCCATTATAAATCATGATTAATGTCAATATTCAATCAAATTGTTTTTATTTATTTTTGTATTAAAATCAATAACTAAAAATAGAATAATTGAATGTTATTATAATATGTTAGAATATTTAGAACGATTCTAGACCTAATAGAAATAAATTAATTTAATTAAATAGTATTTTAATGACATTTTTTTATAACAATAGAAGTAGTTATTTAGGCATTAGATTTTTCTAAATTTTTATTATCAAATATTCTCAGACATAAAATATTTTTTAATATGAAACATTTATTTACCATTATCTTAATGTTTTTATATTACTTTACGAAAATTTATATATTGTATCCAAAAGAAGAAATAATTTTTTTTAATATGACATGAATTAAAATTGTTAAAGTATTTTTAAAAAGTCATATAAAACCAAGAATCTACGTATGTGAAACTTTATGTCATTTTATAAAATTAATTTACAAATGTTCTTATAATTTATTGTAAAATATTCATGAAAAAAAATATAAAATTCAATCTTAAATAATGAATAAATATATTCAAACGATATAAATTAGTTGAATACACAACACGAACATATAAATGAGGTGATACAGATTTCATAGAAAGAGTTTATTTTACGGATCCTTAAGAAAGTACAATAGTAGTTGGAAACTACTTTCATCCACTTTATATTTCCGGTTAGACGCAGTAATTGCGAGTCCAATTTCCAGTCTTTTCTACTGATTACAGGATAAAATAGAGCACATAGATTTTCGCTAAATATACATCTTTATCAATTTGTTGAATTGTTATTTGAAATATCTTAAGACAGGTCGATTTTTAGTAATGATTATTACTGATATGATAATAATGCATTCGTTTAGTGACAACTTGATCACACATAAATTACACCTTCATGTAAATTGCTGTACGTAAATTAATCGAAGTCTTTAATTTTTTTGTCCAACGAAATTAAATTCATTTTAAATCTTTATTTATTATTTTTTTTTTTGTACTATAAAAAATTTTATTAAGTATCAAAGATATTAATTATTAATAAATACTACTGATTTTTTTTAATTAAAAAAAAGACTGATTAATGACAAATTTAAATTTTGTTAAAAAAGTTAATTTATCTAAATAAAAAAATGTGTAAATGTCTGAAAATTTTTCCATTAAATAAATCTTTTATTTATTTAAAGATATCAATTAGAAATAAATAATCATATGTCATTAAACTCTATGTAAGTTATTATTTTGTTGCTAATATCAAAGTCTTAAACTCAATTAACATACACGAGAAAAAATAAGTAAAAACCAGTTTTCTAATTATTACAGTCATCAATTTTCATTCATAATTTACGATTAATTATACATCAAGTAAATGGCAAGCCAATAAATCATTTCAGGATTAAAATATAAATTTAAAGTGTTTAATCACTGATCTTGCTGGTCGTAATTCAAAAAATTTTCGCAGGCTGTTAAAAAACTTTCAATTGTAACTATAAAAGGTATTGATTATTTTAACAATATAGCAACATAATATTATTTTCTTTGAGAATATCTTTATTTTTATTAAAAATTATAATATATATATATATATATATGTGTATATCAGGTAATGAAAAATTACATACTTTTTGAACCTGTTGTTTGTAATTATACACGATAATTTATTTATGTATATTACAAATTAAGTGAAATACTGCATATTAATGCAAAACTGAAGAAAAAATCGTTATCTTTTTTGATAATTCAATTTGTTTCATTCTATTATTTAATTACTATTGGTGTTAGTTGTATAATTACAATGAAAAGTCATTCAATTTTTAACAACAATACTAGTAATAGTATTTTAATAATAATTATAATAATCAATATAATAATAATAATAATAATAATAATAATAATAATAATAATAATAATAATAATAATAATAATAATAATAATAATAATAATAATAATAATAATAATAATAATAATAATAAATAAAATAAAAAACAGTGCTTAAGTGCACCAAAAATGAATGAAAATATAATAAAAATGATAAGACTATTTTTTATCTTACTCTTTTCAAAGAACATACAAAATTTTTATTACGTATTCAGGTATCGTAAAAATGACAGAATGATAGAGATACAATTAATCTGTGGTCTTTTATAGCCAAGAAAAAAATTTCATGCCACTCATTGAGTATTCTTTGTTTCTTTTTATCAATTACTTACAATATAATAAAATATTAAAAATTTATTTTTTAACAACGTTATCGGTTGTGATTGTTTATACTATATTTTACAGTATAAGCATTTTTTAATTTCTATTATATGATTTCCAATTGAATTTTGTACAATGTATTAAGTAACGAATAGTAAATATTTGAACATTTTTATTATTATAAATAGTGAAGTATTATATATATGCATATATATATTTATAAAAGATAAAATATAAAGGGAAAGGCTTTTAATTAAACATTTAGCATATTTTATATGCGTCGTTGTCTATTGAATTTCAAGCCTTTCACTTGTCATAAACTAATATTTTTTATTATGCGTTAAGTACATTAAGGGAAATTCCAGAGAGCACTACATTATTATTTACTATATAAAATACTTTAACTACTTTACACTATTATTTTTCCGGTTGATCTATTTAATTTATAATTTTTTATGTCATGGCACCGTAAAAAATGATGATAAAAAGATTTTCATTTGAAAATTAATAATTTCGTTTCAAACTAGAATCAATGAAGTAATGATGAATCCTAAAATTAATTGGAGCTGCTAAGAGTTACTTCTTAATTCACCTTTCTTAATCAGAAAAATTTTCTTGTTATGTGAATATAAATATGTCAGTACATTTGATTGACAATCACCAGTACTGGTTTCTTTTAAATAACCCATTTTGTTTTTCTCAGTGTAAAAAATATAAAATGAAAAAATAATACCGATATTATTCTTCTATTTGTAAATTAATACTATTGTTCACTTTGCAATATAAAAAAACTGATAGTAGAGCTTATTTATGAGAAGTAACCACACAAACTCCCCTACTTGTTTTTACTAACGATTAAGGATGACAGATATGATAAATTACTCATGATTTGATTGTCAATAAAGTGATATAAATTAGTTGACTTCTTCTGGAGCTTCAATGTCCTCTTCAGTTATATTTTGACGACAATGATATACATAAGCAGCTGCTGAAAGATCATCATCAGTACGTATGCATTTGTAGGATTTGTCAAGACAACCACATCTAAAAAAAAAGTTTTCTTCCATCAAAATTCTATTTATATTAATGAACATCTTTATCTTATAAATGTTATTAAAACATTATTCTTACGTATTGGATATATATGAGTTAATATCTCTTGTTAAAGGCGAGTATATGGCCCAAGCACAAGGTTGTTTATCGCAAAAATGCTTCTCCAATTTGTTGACACTCGATTTAGCCTCATGTTCAAGTTGAAGCTTCTCAGGACTGACTTCCAATGCAATACGTTCCAATTTTTCAGCAAAATCCTATAAGTTAAATCAATTATTGAATTATAAAAAATTAATTAGTATTCTTAGATGTTATATAAATTATCAATAAGATGAAGAATATTTATAAAATTCTTTTTTTAGAGTTGAAGGAAGATCCAAGAGCTGATGGAGAACCCAAGAAGCAGGTGTACGCTTAGAAGAGATCATTTTCAAGAGCGCATTTGATAATTTCAGAAGAGGAAAGCATTAACATAAACCGGAACGATCATTTGGGTCGCGTTTGCCGTATCAGCTAGAATATGTGTGGCATTTGAATGGAAGCGACCGTGACAGAGTGAATGAGTGAAGTGACTCGTGAGAGCAGTGTACGAGCGAGTAATGAGAGTATAGGCATGAATGTGATTCGAATTCATGAATGAAAACCTCGGAGGGATCGTATAACTGCAAAACCACCGTGCCTATCTACTTTATCTGGTTTCTGCCGCCGACTCAGATATATCATCAATGCTTGCACCGCATTTGCATATACATGTGTATCTGTGTTATGTTAAGATAATAATTAATCACGTGTAATGGAGAAGGATTTTTAATCGATATTGATTGGGAATATTTATTACATGGTGGAAGATAAAGACAAAAGAGTTGAGAATTAATTGATTTATGTTCTATCTATATTAATTATTTATTTATATCAAGACAATTATTGATAGAATAGTGTGAAACTCTTGTCTACTTGCTAGTCAATCAATATTGATCCTTCTAATGTATCTAATTTATCAAGATAATTAGAAAGCAAATTATTTATAATTAAGTACTGATTATCAAATACTAGTATTAATAATAATTAATCAGTAATTAACGAGAATTTTTTATTTGTTTATTATTGGTGATACTATCAAAATGACTTAATTCAATTAATGATTGAATTCGAAAAGAAAAAATGTAATATACATCTATAATAAAATTCAATAGAATAATTTTGCATATCTAATTATTTTAAGGGTATTTTTAATCATTATCTAAAGAGTCATAGGTAGAAAATTTTTAATTAATTTTTAACAAATGCAAGAAAGTTTTGAAAAAAGCTTTTCTATTATATTTTTTTTTATAGTTTTTGCAGTAGAAAGTTTACTTTTTTTTAATGAGAAAGTTTTTTTATTACAATGTTACATTGTTAATTAAAATTCTTTCTAGCTTGTGAATGAAATTATTGACTTAAAGTATGAAAATTGAAATATATTCAAAAATTTATTAGATAATTCTTATTACACTAAAGATCTACTCCAATCAAAATCTTTAATTTTTCATTGAACTTAGAATATTTTAAATTTAATTTAAATTCTACTGCCAAGAAATCAAAGACATTAAGTTCTTTAAACTACTCGGAGCAACCATATAACTTGCAATTAAATAAATTATTGAATTTTTAACTCTAAAAATAAATGAAATTAAAATAAAGTATCAAAGAAAGTGAAACATACCTCAGCATGTACAGCCGCGCTTTCAGCAAGAGGAACATAGCAAAAGACAGCTATGATCATGACAATGAGTAGCCTCAGATGTGCCATGGTTCTTAATCACTATTAAGGTGATGTAACGATCACCTTTTGATAATAAAATTTTCTTCTCCTGTTATCGTCAATCAGCAGTACTTCACTGAGGTCTCTTTTTCACGTAACACACGAAATTTCCAATGTGCAATATGATATTTATTTATACGGTCAAGAAATCACAATGCTTTCGTTCTTTCAATGATCGAAAAGGCGAACCAAAATCGTCAATAAAGTATTGACCAGCAAACGAATGGAATAAAGAAGGAAATGTTACTCGTAAATCACAAATGAAGAGTAAATTTATTCACGATAATTAATGATATTACGAATTGCGCACGTATATTCTACCGGTTCGGGGCTTTAGACATAGACTGTCTTCTCGTATAGAGTGAGGATGCTGTTGAAGCGTCGTGGGTTTATATAGGATGGGTTAGCGTGCTCCTTGGTGGGGGCAAGACTAAGCTAGAAGTTATAATAATATGTAATAATTCGAATTTAAAAACTGATTTGAACAACGAGCTCAAGAGTCGGGCAACATCGTCGCTAGCATATGAGTGATAGCTTCCAACTGATGAGAAGTGGGGAACAAGAATATATTTTTTTGCAAGAACAGTCAAATGGTTGTGCAAAGGGTTGACCTTTGATAATACCCATGTCACATTGCATTCACGTTATTAAATCATTCATCAGAAAAGCATTCATTCATATTTTTATTTATTTACACACACTCGTTTATTTATTATGCTTTGTCATAATAATCATCATTATGATAATAATATCATTTCAAATTTCATCATAAATTTATTATTTTTAATAAACAAGCTTACTTGCTACCCTGAAAGGATAGACTAGTTTTTACTTATCCATCAGTTTTTTATAAGTTTGAGCTTGGAATTTACGAGAAATACCAGCTTTTTGTGGGGATATATATCAGAGAGGCCTTATTAAATACATAACGCAAACATGCTGAGTACATGGAGAGAGGGTTTTGGGTTATCATGAGACTGGCTTTGGGTAACTTTATTAAACGCATAATTTTCCCATGACATAACATGATTGGAGATGTTAATTAAAAGAGTGAATTAAAATATTTGTTAACAAGTTACAAGGGTTTTTGTCAATGATATTATCATTTAAATGACAATTATCTCCATGATTACATCTGTTTATTGGACCGGTTGATCAGCTTGATTTCTTATTACCATGTGTACATATTATTAACTTAAGTCGTAATAAAGTACTGTTACATTCTCTTCTCATTGTCAATGATGTTTACTTGGTCAATCGGAGCAACGCCTACAGCAATTTAAAAGCATTAGTAGATAATATTGTAAACACTTGCATGATAACTGAATGATGTCAAGTCAAAGCAGCTGAACTGGGGGCCCGTCTTACTTCTAACCAATCAGCGAACATCTTCAGCATGACGTTAAGTCGCCTTATATCCAAACGTCAATTTTTTTTCATGCTTCAATTTGACTTGACACCCTAAATCAAGGTATGACTCATTTTTATTTTGTTTTATAAACATGCAAAATACTTGACATATTTCTGTTATCTCTACATTGATATCTCAGCAGTCATTTGACACAATTTTCTTGAACTTGAATGTTTATATTTTTGTTTTGGATCTTTATCGTTGGTGATATCTGGGTGGACTTTTGAAGAAACTTTTTTTATGTAGTTAATGAGAAGGGTGTTAAATAGTTTAAAAGTTATTTTATGTGAAGAAGTCAAGTATACTGGTCATTCATAGTGGAGAGATCTTTGGAAAGAGACAGAGATCTAATTAGAAATAGAAATACAAATAAAAATAGAAATAGACTGTCGAGTATTGCTGGCTGGTAGTGAAGTTGGTGGTTGGTGATAATATTTTTTATGTTAGTATTAACAAATTGATTTTTTATAATCAACAAAAATTTGGGAAATTTTTAAAAATCATCTAATGTATCAACAGATCTCCAATAATTAGGAAGCATGTGTTGATGAGATAATTATTTATAAACAACTGATAATTGTTTTTGAAAAAAAATTTTAAAAATTAAATAAATTGTAATCTTATGACATTTAAAAAAATATTTATTTGCACTATTTTTATTAAATTTTATCGTAAATATTTAATTGCAAAATTTGTTTTGTTTTATCGTGACTTATTTTTCATCAGTGTTTTTACTATTTCATTTTAAAATAAATATTTATTGTTTACTTCAAAGTTCAAGTAGTCTTAAGAGTCAAGATGTTATTGAACGATCACAAGAATAGGAAAAATTCAAAAAGCACAACTAATCATTAACATAAATACATTTTGTTAAATTAGAATATTTTTTAGAATGTAAGTACTTACTACTCACTCCCTGTGCTTTTTTCTTTAAATGCGAATATAACAATGGGATCGGTACAAAACAACTCTCCCACATTGCCTCTCTCAAATCCTTGAACAAGAAGAAAGCCAAAGTTTGAAGAACAATTTAGGGGAGATAAAAAATACAAACGATGCAAAAAATTTTCCATTTTATATATACAAAGCCGTTAATATTTTTTCTTCTTTCTTTCAATGTATCCACCATCCATTTAATGTACATTTTAGATATTTATGTAACATATCTTTTAGTTAAGTGTGAAGAATCAGATTTGGCGGTATGCCACGAGACAAGAGATTTCGCCATTACTCTTCACTTTATGTGTTTTCTAAAAAATATTTAACAAAATCATTTTTACCCATAAAATTTTATTTAAAAATTTATTGATTTTAATTGTTAAAAAAAAATAAAAAAAATATTATAAATAAATTGATTGATAAATAATGAATTAGCGATTTGTCAAGTCAATAACAATAAAAAAAATAAATCTCATCAATGCTAGACATAAATTGCGTCATTAACTTCCGGAGAACAGCTGCTGCGCAGTAGTATAGATCAATTTATTGATCTCACTCGACCTGCGCTCCCTTTTACAAATTCACTTTCACACTTAAAAGTCTCGTCTTGATATGATATTTATTATAACGATACTAAAAATTTTTAACATTGTGTGCGGTCTTTAATAAAAATTTATCAACCAATCAAAATCATTCAGACAATTTCTCGGATCAATAAATGAATGATTGAATCAACAAAGCATTTCTTTTTTGCATTTTTTCCATATTTTATTTTTAATAGAAAAAAAATTAAATTTGCATGTGATTAACAACCAGGGAACCTTTTAGTAGCATTAATGAAAGAGAAAGTGGCTTTATAATGTCCAAATATGCAAAAAAATCCATTAAAATGGGTGTGAGATTCCTTTAATGGTGAAATTAATTCTCAGAAGTAAATTAAATCTTGCAGTTGCAGCCCTTCATTTTTGTTATAAATTCTCAGTCACTTCATCATGATGATCATAAACAATACTCTTTATTTAAAGTTTATTTTTCCAAATAAAAAAAATAAATGTGTATTTAATTTTAATTTATTATGATTTTTCATAAAATAATTGTTTATTCATCCATGAAGTTATAAAATAAAGCTTAAATACTTGTTTGTTTTTGAAATATCGATCTCCATCATCTGCAATGTTTAATCATTAAATTGGAGAATTTTATGATTATTTTTATTTGCAATAAAATTAATGAAACTCATAAATTTTCATTAAATATCAGCCAAAAATGATGAAACCCAAACGAATAAAAATTGTCATAAATTTTATTTATGTAGTGATAAAACTCTCAAATTATCCCTTCCTTAACATCTTGAGTTAATTTTTGTTTTGTATCTTGGATGCCTAAGACACACATTAACCCGGAGGCTAAGTCTTATTACACTCATTAATGAATGTCTTCAGAGCTGTTCATCATGCATTTACCATCAATTTTTGTTCTCATCAGCATCATCAAATTAATAACATGTTTATGAGAAATTTTATGTTGGTATGCATACTAATGATCATCTAAAGTGTGCATAAAAATGATAATTGACTATACCACCATGGTTTAGTGAAAGATCATTGAAGCTTAACAAACTAATTTTATTATGACGGTTAATCCAATTATTTTTAAAAGTATAAAAAATTTAAATAAAAAAATTGAATTACAAAGTGAGAATATAATGCGGGAGAGTTCAACAAACATCAATTTTTGTCTGTAAATACTGTGAGGCCAGACAATTTTCCAAGAAGACAGGAAGCAATTTCACTTTGGATTTTCTTGGCAGATGCAATGGCCAACGTGTTGCGTAAAAGCTCCCCCCTCCTTTCACCCTCAAGTCTGTACAATTATAAAGTGGATGAGTGAGCGACATTACTTGATTTTTCGTCTTGCCAAATGATTTAACAACAATAGTTACTCCAAGTATTGCTCATCACACTCTTAAAAGAAATTTTAGTAGCAGTTAAATATAATCAGTTTTTAAACATTTTTTTTATATTTAATATTTCAAAATATCTTTTGAATCATCAGTAACTCCTAATACAATTATTATTTAATTTTTTTAATCACAAATTCATTGAAGAATAAAAAATAACTTTTTGATATACTTATTCACTAAAGGTAGCTGAAGAGTTAAAAGATTTACATTTTACCAATCAAGTCTGACATGTGTAAAAAAACATTTATTCATTGAAGCTAATTTTCTTTTTCGATTAACATTTATTTTTAGATTAAAATGAAAAAAAAAAATGTAAAAATGATTAATATTTTGTGTATTTTTTCATATTAATTTAAACGAATTTCTATTTCTAGCATCTACAGATTTAAATCCGGATTTACAAACTTTTCCCTATCTTATGAAAAAAAAAAAATTTTTTTCCTCCCAGGAAATGAAAGTGCATTTTTTTATCACTTGCAACTGAACCATTAAAAGATTGTGCGAATTATAAGTGATGGCTTATTCACCCTAAACTGCGTATAATTTAAATGCGCATATTATCAAATTACATTTATTTTATATTGACGTCAGATTCTGGTAAAGTCAAATGATGAAATATATGACAAATTATCGGATTCACTTACTACGCACAATGTCATGTTTTCTACGCATGATCTCGTATCTTTAATGATAAATGTTGATTAATTTTGCATCATTTTTCAGAGATAAAGAAGTCATAGAGACCAGTAAAAAGTATTCATTTTCAATAATAGAAAAAAAAATTTTCTAACCATCTCAAATGTTATAAAAAACAATAAAAATCTTAATAAAAAGTGCGTTAAGACCGATTATATCAGTTAAAACAAAAAAAAAATGTATTGTTAGCTAAAAAAAAAGATCGTTTATCAATTACATATGTAATGTTTTATTGTAGTTGATGAATGTGTGCTCCAATGATGCTGATGCAAACCAGTTCTTTCATTCAATCATCCCCTCTATTTAGCTGCTGAAAAGCCGACATGCTCGCATGCATGCCAAGAGATTTTTACTTAAGTTAATAC